TGCGCACGGAGCTCTGTGGAGTGGAGCCTGCGGGCCGTGAATTCTCCGGGCTCCGCAGCCGGGGGTTCTTCTGCTGCGCTAGCGCACACTCAGCTTCTCGTAATTGGTTAAAATTTCTAGCGAAATCTCTTTACTGGTCTCTGTTGTCATTTGTCTGAAGCAAACAAGTGCTTGCATCTCATCTCTCCTGTGAGTTGCCTTTCTGTCCTTAGATTTTGGGGGTACTTGGTTGCCTTGTAGCCTCAGCTCTCTGAAGGGTTCGTTTTGCAGATTATCCAGTATTTCGTTGTGCTGGGTTGGGAGCGAGACTCTTTTAGCATTCTTTATCCTAAATGGAAGCCGCCTTCTATTTTTTTTCCTTAGTAAATTTAAAAACTTGGAACAATTTTGGATTTATAAAAACAGAATGAAAGAGCCCCTGGAAAGGGAGAATAGACTTGCAAGCTACATATCCTATACGGTGTTCATTTCCAAATATACGAGGAACTCGTACAATCATTAGCAAGAAAACTAATAACCCCAAAATGGGCAGAAGGCGTGAATAGACATTTCTCCAGAGAAGACACACGGAGGCCCGACAGGTGTATGAAAAAGTGCTCTGTGGCATCAGTTGTCAGGGAAATGTCCGTCACCACCAGTGAGTTGTCTCCTCACACCTGTCAGAATGGTTGTTATCAACAAGCCACAGGATAACAAATGTCAGCGAGGATGCGGAGAACCGAGAACCCCTTAGCTACTGTTGCTGGGAATGTAAATTGGTGCCATCATTATGGAAAACAGCATGGAGGTTCCTTAAAAGATGAAAACTAGAGCCACCATGTGACCCAGCAATTCCACTTCTGGGTACATATCCAAATTGTGTGATTATCATCTTGATGAGAAATCTGCATCTGCATGTTCACTGCAGCAATATTCACAGTAGCCAAGCTAAATGTCCATCAAAAGATGAGCGGATAAAGGAAATACGGTATGTGTGAACACGTGTACACAGTGGAATATTTTTCACCCTCCAAAAAAGGAAATCCTGTCATTTGCACCAACATAGCACAAGAAAACCTTCACTTATTGAAGTATTATCAGCGAGGTATGACTGCAGGTAGTCGCAGTGTAGAATTTGATGAATTTTGCCATATGTAGAGCCCCATGAAATTGTCACCACAGCTAGGACGATGGTTACCCATTTCCTCCGCAAGTTTCCTCCTGCACCTTTGTACTCGTCCTGTCCCAAGGCGATCCTTGGTCTGCTTTCTGTTACTGTAGATTAGTTTGCATTTTCTAGAACTTTATATAAGGGAATCATACAGTCTGTACCCTTTTGGGGTGCGGGTCTGGCTTCTGCCACTCAGTGTAATTATTTTGAGTTTCGTTCGTATTGTTTTCTAAGTTAGATGAAGATTGGGTTCTAAAGGCTATCTTTCTGGATGATTAAAAAGCTTATACATTTGCATGGAAGTTGAAAATGCAGAATTTCAAAGCCCCATTATATCTGTTTTCAGATGAGACTGTGGAAGAAATTGTTCTTATGTGTGTCTAATGAAAAAAATTGAAGCCTGACAAAGGTTCATTAACCCTTTTCTCATTAAAAAAAGGCGTGCCTCATTAAGTTAACGTCACGCATAGGAATGCTACATTTTCTAGAATTTGACTTTTTTAGCGATCGAGAATCACTATATTTTGTAAATGGAAACCCCTACTAAAAACAGAATGCTATAAATAGAACGATGTCTATTGTTTCCAAAGACTATCAGTACATTAGAGCGATGCGAAAATAATAATGGAGCGAGATAGTCTATGGCAGCCTCTAGGGGCCATGTTAGGACCGGGATCCGGGCCTTACCCCTGGGTCAACGCTGCAGCCGCCAGCACCACCGGTGACCAGGGCAAACAGGGAACGGGTGACCAGGCCCACAGCTCGTTTGGAGAAGGGAGTGCTGTCCTGGCTGTGCGGGTGGGTGGCACTGCCTGGCCCTGCCCGGAGTCCGGCGAGGGTGGGCGAGAGGGACATGATCCCCACGAGCTCTTTCTGTCCCTTTGCTTCCTGTGTCCTGTTCGTATTTGAAACGATTTGATGAGTCTTGCTTTGTCTTTTGCTACCAAATACGTTGCCGTAGTTTATGTGACTCGGTTCTAAAGTTAGGCGTTTTTCACGGTGTAGTTTTACTTTCTGTTTTTACTTTCCCAAGCAGATAAATGTAAAAGCTTACACTGATTGATTACTTAGTAAACGTCCAGCTTGGTATTCTCCTTTACTTAGAAGTACATTATTTTAATTTATGAAGTGGCTTACAAATCGAGTCATTTAAGGTGTATTAAGGGAGCTCTATAAAATACTACTGTGTGATTTGTGAAATGTGAACACTTGCTACCTTTTATATTGTGGAAATTTATATATGGTTTTCCTCAAATAAGATGTGCTTAGGAACACAGCTGTCTAAAATATGCGCCTTTTAAAAAGTCATTTTGCAGAACTTAGGGAGGATAAAAGCCCTTTTGTTAATTGAGGTTTTGTATGAGTCAGCATTTCATAGCCAAATTTTTATTTAGTGACTGTTAGCATGTAATTAGAAATGTTAGATTCTTAATGACTCACCTACCAGTGAATGTAGGACTGCATTTTAAATATAGTCTGTGTTAAGACTTTATTGAATTTTTGCATTTTGGTGGTTCTGCTTGAAATAAAGATCATATGTGAGTGAACGTATTTTTCCCACCATAGGAAATACTCCCGTAGCATGAATAGGGTTAACGTTGGTAGGTTAATCGCAACAGAAAAGCTCACATAAATAAACCAAACTCTGTTTATGCTTCACAGATGTACCTTGTGATTTTTCCAGAGGGAACAAGGTATAATCCCGAACTAACAAAAGTCCTTTCAGCTAGTCAAGCATTTGCTGCTCAAGAAGGTAAGTAAAAATTTGACTGTAATTGAAAAAATAATTTTTAAAGATGACTTTTAAAATTTTTGTTCCTAGAGAAGATATTTGTTTCATAGTAATTGAAACGAATGAACCTGTTTATTCCTTGAAAGAATGTACGCATTACCTCTTAGGACATGAGGTTTCTTCTCATTGATCACGTGTCTGTTATTACGTACATCTGAGAGATTAAATTCGCATTCTTGCTACAGCACATATTTTGGCGCCATGGATTTAGGTAAAAGTCTATCTGGGAACATGGTTTTGCAGATCAGCCTCTTTCTACGGTTTGGGTTCTGCATGGTAGTGCGTGTTCTGATCTGCGGGTCGACAGCGCTGGACCGGAATCCAGATCTGGTGTTCATTCACTGTGCGGTTGCCGGCTGCCCAGCGTGGTGAGCTTCCGTGTCCTCGTGTCTTAAAAACATACTTCGCGGATCTGCCTAAATCCGTGTAAGAATTGAGTTCGAGGGTGTGTGAAGTTCCCGCTGGAGACGAGGAGACGCAGCCGCTTCGCAGCACTCGGAAGCTTCCTGCGTCCCCAGTGATGAGATTTAGAAAACTGGACGACTAGCACACTGGAGCAGGCGATTCAGTTAAACCCAGTTGGGCGGTGAACGTAAAACAGTGGCTCTGCTGTGTCCCAAAGGCGTCTTTGAAGATTGACTGAATCAGTGACCCCAGGGGCTCACTGAGCGAATGCCTGCGTGCTGGCGTGGAGCCAGTGTCTGCACGGTGCTGCCGCGCGCTGTGTGCGACCTGTCACCGGGCCGCTCCTGCCCACGTGCGGCTGGCGCAGCCGGGCACGGGGATTTCTAACTTCACTTGTTTTCAGTTAGTTCGTTGTGCCCCGACGTGAATCCACCCAGGAACTGAGAGATCTGAAACGGTAACAGCCTTTTCTCTGCTTACAGTTCTGCGCTGTGGCGGGGCTCAGCGGGAACAGCGCCCTCTGTGGCCTCTCAGTCCCCCGCGTGTGGGTGGACGCTTGGCTGGGGCCAGAAAGTCCTGGGTGGTTTTACTCGATGTCCGGCCGCAAAGCCCTGGGTGGCTTTACCCGGATGTCGGGTGGCAAAGCCCCAGGTGACACCAGCAGCCTGCTTGCGTTGGCTGTATCTGCTAGGAGTAGCTAAGCTTCTCCCAAGTTCTTTACGACCTTTCCTCGTGGGATTTATCAGGCATCTCTGTACCGCCACTGTGTCGCCTGAGACAGACGGGACCGCCGCTTGGGGCTGCGTTTTTATAACCGTGGACAGTTACTTTATTTCTTTTGCTTCATCGCCTTGTTTCTAAACCAGGGATTATGGCATCTCCTTCGCAGGGCTCCTGGGAGGTTCAGGGACATCACGTTTGCAGAAAGCAGATCGGAAGGCCGACTCTGTGTGTTGTTCTAGACCATTTTATATAAGGGACTTGAGACTCCAGGGATTTCCGTATTTGCTGGGGCCCTGGAACCAACTCCCTACGGACCTCAGGGGAGGGCTGAAGATTTTTGTGGAGTCAGAAGTTACGTTTTTTGGTCACGTGGGGGGATTGGCGACTTAACCCTCACTGTTCGGGGATTAACTCTGTGTGTGTGTGTGTGTGTGTGTGTGTGTGTGTGTGTGTGTGTGTTCCTATTTAAACATTGGCATATGCTTTTAATTGGGTGAAACAAATATATGCAAATAGATTTATTTTCTGTGATTTATTTATTCAGAGTCATAATTTTAATCCAGGTTTCATGGCCTGTATCAGTCACCTAGGCTTCCATAAGAAGATGTCATAGACTAGGTGGTTGTCTACGGCCATGCCACACTGAACACGCCCCATCCTGTCTGATCTCGGAAGCTAAGCAGGGTCGGGCCTCGTTAGTACTTGGATGGGAGACCACCTAAGAAGACCAGGCATAAAAATAAAAAAATAAAGGATTATAAGCTGACAGGGTCCTTGCAATCTGTGAGGTCAACCAAGAGTTGCCTCGCCTTAAAAAAAAAAAATAGACTAGGTGGCTTAAACGAGATTTTCAGACAATTTTCTCACGGTTCTGGAAGGCGGAAGTCTGAGCTGCAGGTGCCAGCATGGCCGGTTCCCCGAGAATGCTCCTGGCGCACAGTGGGCTGCCTTCGTGCTGCGGCCCCACCTGACTCTCCTCAGGGCGCTCACACACGTGTGTCTATCTCTTCCTTTTTTATAAGGACACCAGCTCTGTTGGGTTAGGGCCCCATCATCATGACCTCATTGAATCTTAATCACCTCCTTAAAGGACCCACCTCCAAATATAGTCGCCTTGGGGTTGGGGCTTCACATGAATGTGGGGGAGGGGTGGAGAGATACCCCAGTCCATAACAGGGCCTTAAATTATTTTTCTGTATGTGATTAGATTTAATGCTAATATTTCTCAATTCATCATTTAAAAATCAATTTAAGATGGATGTTTGCCTTTTATTGTTCAATCTTAATTGAGATGACTTTAATATAGCTGAGTTATTTATTTTAAAAAATCCAGAGCAATTTTGTAATGCTAAAACAGGTAATTCTTAAAATAGTATAATAACGATATATATCCTAGCTTTTTAGTCTAATAACATCCCAGTCACCTATAATTGATCAATTACTGGTCTGTCATTTTCTGAATTGTAGCTCTTTAAGTTACCAAAAGGGGAAAAAATTGTTGTATGAATATCTTTTTTTTTTTTTAACGCCTACAGCACCTGGTTTTCCTAGGTGGTCTCCCATCCAAGTACTAACCAGGCCCGACCCTGCTTAGCTTCCGAGATCAGATGGGATCAGGCCTGTTCAGGGCATCATGGCCGTAGATGAATATCATTTTTAACTGCTAACTCTTTCTTTAAATTCTGTAACTGGGAAAGCTGTTGCTGTCTATTAGAAGTTTATTTTCTTGTGACTATAAAAGTAATTATTTCCCACCATACGCAAAGGAAATTGATTTGTGAACAGTATATCTAGAAAAAGTGTTTCCTGTTTTCTTTCCTCTTAGGTCACAACTGAATGAGATTACTTAAAAATGAAAACAAAAGAACTTGTTTCTCCATCTGTTAAGCTAATTTTTCTTCAAGAAAATTGAAACTAATAGCTCTTGTTAGCATGTGTTATGTTTTACTTCAAAACATAATTAATTTTGCTCCTAAAATAACTTTATTTGAATCTGACTTAAGAAACAAATAGAAAAACAAACCCAAACCAGCATTTTTAATTTAAATTTTTAGAAATTTGATGCTCATTTACACGTTTAAGTCATTAAGTCATTAGCACTTAATGACTTAATGGCTCCAGGTATCTGCTGCGGAGGCATCTCTGGCTTACGAGGTGTGAGTGGTGGGTCCAGGAGCCACCCGGGAGGTCAGGTCACTGGCAGACACTAGATAGTGCTGTGGACACAGCAAATGCCCAGTGGTTTTGAGAGCCTGGTTGGTCCTCCAAGGCCATTTCCACACCATTTGCTTACAGAGTTACATGAAAATAAGTGATGTTACTGTTGACACCTGTCTTTTCACACCCCTCAGCTGCTCTTCAGTGAATTCCTGATAGGCTCCAGCCAGGGTCTGAGTTCTAATTCAGTGTCCTCTAAGTGGTACCCGAACCAGCAGCTTCGGCATAGTCTGGAAGATTGCTCGAAATACGGATTCTTGGGATCCACGCTAGACCTAAATCAGAGATTCTAGGGGTGAGGCTCGGCCTGCCAGATGATTCTGATGTACTCCAAGGTTTCAGAAACCCAGCTCTCACTAAGATTAGTCATGTGTTCAGCGGGTTAGTTGGGTCAGAGTTTTGTGTTTCAGCTAGAACATGTGGATCTAATATTTGTTGGCGAACCTTTATTTTATGCTAAGTTTCATTAATAAAAAAAAAAGTAACGGCAGGTATGTACCCGTCATAGGAAGCGTAGAGACGGGTAGTAGGACGAGGGTCTCTCTGGGCCCTGTAACATTCAGGCACGGCTTTCGTAATTTAAATCTTTCTCAGTTATATGAAGTATCTCATTTTAATGAACTTTCCTTAGAATCATTGTAGGTATTTTGCTTTCAGTGGTTGCTAAGGAACTTGGAATATAATATATCTTCATCTCCCTGAACCTATTGAGGGGAGACCCATAGTGGTCTTTCAGCGTAGCAGCCAGCAAGATGACGTACCCTAGTCATAGAAAACAGGAATTTAGTGATGCACCTGTAATGGCAGGCCAAATACCTAGAGTTTTCATATTATTGAGCAAAAACCCGTTTGGCTCAGCACCGACGTCGTAGCTGTCATTTGGCCGAAAAGGCTCGGAGTCGCACAGACGCGTGTGAAGGCTTCAGCCTTGACACTCGCACGCTCCTGTCAGTGTGAGCGCAGCGCGCAGCCTCTCCTTACGGGGTCTGCACACCTGCCCCGCACACCTTCCAGGCCGCCGCCCCTTTGCCCTTGCTCACGCCCGGCCCCCCCGCTTCGTGCCTCCCTCTCGGCCTCTCTCCAGTGTGCTCTTTTTCCGGTCAGGTATGAGTGAGCGCAGCATATCTTTAAGCATGAGTGGTGTCTTATGTTCTGAGACTGTTTTGTGTCTCTTGTAGGACATTCTACACTCTAGCGATTTAAGTTTATTTTATTGTCTCATTCATCTCTAACCCACGTGTTTATAGTTTCAAAATAGTATCTCGTAAATAGTTACCGAGTAGAAGACGTTCCACACAGTCATTATAAGCTCTTCCTAGCTGCGTGCCTTTGGGTAAGTCGTTATACCTCTCTGAGCCTTAGTGACTTCATTCGTGGGAGTCAAGTGAGATGATAGTACACATATGATGTAAAATTTCCTTCATGGATCGATAAAGGTTTTCCGTCCAGCGTGTTTATCGTTATTGATAATGTTTCCAACACACAGTGCAGCAGAATCGTCCTTACACCAGCCACCACCACGCTCGCCCCTGGAGAAGGGGTGGTGGCCGGGCGGGCAGGCGGGCAGGCGGGCTGTCCTTCCGGAGAGCTGAGACGAGACGAGGCGGAGCAGATGCTGAAATAGGGACGGGGCGGTGGCCACGGGGCGTCCGCCAGCGCAGGGCCCAGGCCTTGCCGTCGCCCCCGGGGCCCAGTCACATGGCGGTGTCATGGGCGCGAGCTGGAGCACTTCGTTGTGAATGCCCGTTCCTCAGTTCTCTTGCTACTGAAATTCTCATCGGTTTTCTGTTATTACATGAAACTGGTTTCATAACAGTGACCCAGAGTTTGCGGATCTGGAGGCCCTCATCCCTGTTTGTGGTTGAGCGCCCCACAAATCAGTGTCCGTGTGGGCAGCAGGAGCCCATGGGCTCGGACTTAGGGTGGCGAGGTGACTTCCGAGCCTCACGGAAGGGCCAGCAGCTGCTTGTTGTCATGGCACGGGTGTCCCCTGTTAGTGCCCTAAGCGTCGGAAGACGACTAGACCGCGCGTTAATAAATCCACGCCGGAGAAATGGGCTTCCTCACGGCGCTGGGCGCCCCCTTAACCCGCCGTGCGCGCCCGGGCCTGCCGCTCCACGAGGGCGCGCTCCCGTCCCGCACTTTCCCGGGCGGCCTCCTCTGAGTTCTGGGCCTTTCTGTGTCGCCAGCGAGTGCCTGTGAACTTCTTCTTCTCCTTGAGCCGGTTCCTCTCTGCCCGTCCGTCACCCAGTGCCCCGGTGTCGTTCTTCCCCGCTCCCCGGCCGTTCCTCCTCCAGAGCTGGGAGAGAACCCCTGGGGTGCGCAGGCTCTGGACCGGGGCGAGAAAGGGTGCTCCGGGCCTTGGAGCTGCTCCCTGCCTTCCTCAGCACGCAGGCCTTTGCGTTAGCGATGGGTGTTCCCGTTCGTTTATCACAAAGCTGATATTTCCAAACCTTTATTAGCACTCATTTTGTTGAGAAATATTACTTTTTGTATTTTTATTTTCCTCCTAACTTATTTGGAGTCTAGTAATTAATTCTTACTGAATACCACAGGGCGATTCTGTGGAACTTTGGATTTAAAATCAAGTGAGCTCCAGTGGCACAGAAGGAAGTAGTAACTAACTTAATTGACAAATAAATGTTTCCCAGCCTGGTACACTATTCAGATTTTTGTTATAAGTTTGTGAATAGATTAAACTGCTTCCGCCCTGGGGACTGAGTCGGGTATGTGGTGTGGGAATCTCTGCCTTTCCCACACCGCTGTGCATTCTAGAAATTCTTCTGCGGGAGGATCCCAGCATACTATAGCTGTTCTTCCTCGTGCAGCTGGTTTCCCCTGGAGAGAGGGAGTAGAAACTCCAAATCAGGCTGTTTTCTAGTCTGTTTTCAGGTCACTTCTTCAGAGAACTACTCTCTTCTGTTAAATCGTCATTAAATAGCCTAATCCAGGAAGAGAGAGGCAGTGGGAACCAGGAAGGAGAGAATGAATTCTTAGCACTAGTAGGAGCACTAATGAAGAGTGATTAAACTGCAGTGTTTTCTCAATTAAAGAAGATTTTTAGAAAGCTTTTAAAAAATGTATAACACACATGCAACTATGTCAGATATACCTGCGAATTGAAATCCTGTGTTCATACAAAAACTGTTCATGTGTAGTTTATATGAGTGTTTGTAGCAGCATTTTTCATAATAGCCAAAGGGTGAAAAAAACCAAATGTCTATCATCTGGTCAAATGGATAATCAAAATATCTATACAGTGAAATATCATTCAACCATAAAAAATAATGAAGTACTGTTACAGGCTACGGCATGGAAGAACCTCGAAAACATTCTAATAAGTGAAAGAAGCCAGTCACAAAAGTCCACAGACTGTACGAGTCCATTCATGTGACGTGTCCATAACAGACAAATCTGTAGGGACAGGAAGTGGATGCGTGGTCGCTGGGGCAGGAGCGGGGGAGGGGAGGGGTGCCGTGTCTGCGAAGGCGCAGGTGTCTGTGTGGAGCTGGAAATGGAACTTCAGTGGTGATGGTCGCCCGGCTCTTTGAATATACTAAGAGTCACTGAATTGTCTACTTGAAATGGTAAATATTATGGTATATGAATTAGATCTCAGTTAAAAAAAAAAAAAGTACCAAGAACCCGGATTCTTGGGTTGACCCTAAAAGTACACAGCCGTATTTCACCTCACATAGACCACATCCGGTCCTATTTCAGGACCTGTAGGCAATGGGGTCGTTTAGGTGATATGTTTGAATAGAACAGAACTTGAAGGACCATGGACTTGGGGTCAGAAATGAGTGGATTGTACTGCCGAATCCAAAGTGTCCATGGGCCATACACGTGGAACATCTTCATATTCCGTCGTGGGAAATGAAGATGATGATATTTGCCCTTGTCAGGGTTTACCAAGTTCAAGGTCAGACTTATCAAGGGCTGACTTTCTGGCAGCTCCGCACGGTGTCTCATACATGTGGATGCTTAATAACTCTCTGTCAAATGCGTGCTGGTTTAAATAGCGTCCTGCGAGAGAGCTTTCCAAACGTGAAGTCCTGTCGCTGCGAGGCCATGTCAGGATTCTGTTCCGGTCTGTGTCTTCCTTGAAATTTAAAAAAAAATATATGCATTCTGTTGCCGAGGTGTTTTGTAACTAATTCGTGGCCACGCTTCTTTTCCAGGCCTTGCAGTATTAAAACATGTGCTGACTCCAAGGGTAAAGGCAACTCATGTTGCTTTCGATTCTATGAAGCATTACTTAGATGCAATTTATGATGTTACAGTGGCTTTCGAAGGGACCGTGGATGATAAAGGGCAGCGGAGAGAAGCGCCATCCATGGTTGGTAAGTTTGTTTCTAATGAAGTCTTATATATTTCAGAATGTGTGATTCATTTTTTAAAAAAATGGCTAAGTCTGCTTCATTACATTTACTTGATATAGTTTCCAAGGGCAAATACTTGACATAATTTTCAGGTATTTTTTATTAATCCATAACAGTTTAAATTGCATTAGTCCTTTTAAATTTGGTATTTTTTGGTTGCCATATTGGGTCCTTAAACTTGCCCATTATCGTTAGCTCAGCTCTTTCCACCCGAAGTTCACACATAAAAATGGGAAGCTACGTAAATCAGAGGAGGGCGTGAGCAGGGGCCTAACCTGGCGACACTCAGGTGCACGCCGATGTCAGTTCCGCCTCGTGTTTTTCATGGGATCATTTTGAAATTTAGTATCATTGACAAGAAGAAAGACAGTTAAGTGTGACTTTTTTTCTAAACATGCTAGGTTTTAAGGACCATTGAGCTGTTGTCTATGTGCATGTCAGCTATAACAAGAAAAAAATAGAATTTTAGGTGAGCAGAATGTTCTCGTAAACATAATCAGAGGCGCTCCTGACCGGGAGAAGTCTAAACACGGTGACGGGCAAACGAGGACTGTGGAGACGCCACCCGGGAGCCGTGACACGGAGGTAGAACCCGCGCGCTCCCCCTGGCGCCAGTGTCTGCCAGAGCGCTGCTGTCCGCAGGGCCTCGCAGGCCGATGATCAGAAGGCGCGGAGGGCAGGTCCCCGGGGCGAGGCTGGGGTGAGGCGGGGGCCGGATGCTGTGCGCCTGGCCACGGTGGAGAAACCAGCCCGGGCCTGCGTCGGGAGTAAGGGGGGCGCGCCCTCACGATGCCTTCAGCAGAGATGGTCGAAGAGGAGGCAGCCGAAGTTTTCTTCATTTTCAATGGAATGTTTTGGAATAGATCATACATCAGACTACACACAGTGAGCGGAGCGGGGCTGGCCTCGCAGCCTGCCCCCGTGGGCCGGTCCCCGTCGCCCTCCAGCACAGTCCTCGGGGACGGTACACGCAGACTGGATGAAGCACACGTTCTGACGCCGCTGTCCCCCCTTCTTAATAAAAGGCAACACGCTGACTCTCTCTCTTCTTTAACTGTTGAAGGAGCTGT